ACAGAAAGCACAGGGTCCCAGAAGCAGGGAGTTTTCATTCCGTACACTTTCCTCCAAGGTTCTCGGGTGCCGGGCCCGGTGTAAGGCTCTGAGGGTCCACACGCACTCGATGCACCACCTCCAGCACGTTAAGAGGGATACAGCCAACAAGACCCAACACGGCCACCTCACGGGAGGGGATGGGCCAAGAAAAGACCGCCGGCGACCTGTGACAGCGTGTGGCTCGGTGGAAGGGCAGGGATGAAGCCATGCTGCAGGAAGTTAAGACGTGAACGTGTCTGCTCGTTACTTATGCACAGACACAAACGAGGGAGGTGTATTCAGGAGGGCAGGCTTGAGGGACGGTTTGGAGACTTCAAAGCAAAAAATTAGACTGGAAAGAAGTTGAGGGTCATCGGGGCATTTCAAAAGTAGTTTCTTGGGGCACCTGGGTGGCTCAGTCGGTTACACGTCCCACTCTCGGTTTTGGCTCAGGTTATGATCTCGCAGCTTCATGGGTCCGAGCCCTCGAGCCGCTGGCGCAGAGCCGGCTTGGGATTCTCTCTCCCTCTCTCTCTGCCCCTCCCCCGCTCGCACAGTCTCAGTCTCTATTCAATAAAAAAAATACAAAAAATATTTTAAAAATAATTTCTTAATCTGGAAAATGTGAAAATTTATTCCTCTAAATCCACCAATTCCACAAATGGGACTCTAGCCTAGGAAAACGAGGCTAGGGACGTGTCATTCTTTATTCCACACACTTCTATGGAATTTAAAGGCTCTTAATAAGCACGTGTTTTATAATTTTTAAACAAGATTGGTAGTACGGGCCATCATAGTAGCAAATGAGGACTCGAGAAGGGAGCCCTGGCGCCCGGCTCTCCACGTGGACACTGCAGACGAACGGCAGAGCGGCCATGCACGCACACGCCAGTCCTGGCTCGCCACACCCCTCAGCCTCAGTCAGCCACACAAAACGAGCGTGCTTTGAAACAGTTTCCTCGACAGCTCCTTCCAGGTTTAAAACTACATGATTCCAAGTTTCTTGAAAAGGCTAAGAAATCAAACAACAGACCAGAGAAATTAGGGATTTCTCCAGTTTACCATGTAACATGCGGTATAAGGTGGGATGGGGGTCCGTATATTAAATTGTAGTACTTCTTTCGGACAAAATGATGTACAAGCACTTTGGGGCAGTTAATCAAATATCACATGCCACCCCTAGTTTTAAAAAAGATGCTTACAGGGACACCTGGGTGGCTTAGTCATTTAAGTGTCCGACTCCTGGTTTTGGCTCAGGTCATGACCTCATGGTATGTAAGTTCGAGCACCACGACGGGTTTTGACGGGTTTTGCGTTGACAGTGTGGAGCCTGCTTGGAATTCTATCTCCGCCTCACCCTGCTCTCAAATAAACTAAAAAAAAAAAAAAAAAAAAAAAAATTCTTACAAATTAACCGCACAGAAAATACAAGGCTGTGAATTATTTCAAAGTAAAGCCACAGCAGAAAACAAAAATGTCAAGGCAAAGCTGTGCTAGAAGCTGCAGACAGTCACTTCCCCAGGAGTCAGGAGGTGGGCAGATATTGGGGTGGGGTTAATAGGCCAGGGGGCTAGAGATGCCCATGGGAGGAGAGAAGGCTTGAGTTGGGCCTTAAAGAATGGGGACTGGGTTCTTTTTAGGGTGATGAAAATGTTCTGGATGAGACAGTGGCAGAAGGTTACACAGCCTTGTGAATATACTAGAAATTACTGACTTCTGCAACCTAAAAGGGTACATTTTATGGTGGATGATTTATATCTCAATGTCAAAAAATAAAGAAGACATGGCCAGGGGCAACTGAGGCACCGTGGGAAAAGCCAAAGTTACCCTCAGGAGAGTAATCATTAGAAAGGTAGGTTGGAAACCAATTTCAAAGGGCTCAGAACATCAGGAAAAGGTAACTTGAAATTACCATCTGTGAGATAGTAAGGGAAGCCAAGACTCATGGAAAAAAGAGCAAAAGACCAAAAGCCCTAAGAATAACATCTGCCTGCTGTGCTGGAAGACAAGTCTGAGGGAGGAGGCGTCGGCCAGGTCCTGCTCATTTGAGGTATGGGTCTTGGGCGGGTTTGAGTGAAAGAGTATTTGAAGGTTACTCTGGTTCTGAGTGAGGCAGAGCGAGGCAGACCCAAGATGGGGTCACCTGCAAGGCTAATTGTAATGCAAATTACTCTAGGCCTTAGCAATGTGACTCCAAAGCAGGAACTTTTACACAGAGGCTTGAAAACGATGACGGGAAGAAGCAGGAGGTTTCGTAACAGCCCTTGCTGTCTACTATATGAAACAAACTGAACAGATTTCGGTTTAGCTGTAGGTGCACAAAACTTAAGCCCCCGAACAAATTCTGCCTATGATCAAAGGGAGAGAAAGGAAAAGAAGCAAAATCAGAGAAACACAGGCTAAGGACGGGGGAAAGAGATGGCGAAGTGGCGTCTCTGCAGGCAAGTCCTTGGAGATGCACAGGCTGCACAAAGCTGGGCGAATACGACATTGATTGGGAATGAGGTAACCACAAACACCGCTGTCTCAAATGAAAAGGGATCCAAGAACCGACCCAGAAAACAAGCATCGTAACCACCAGATAAAATTTTAATGATAAACACAAGATGCTCGACGCACAAGCAAGACCAAAGTACCCAATGCCAGGTCGTAAACGCAAGGTTCTCTTAGGAAGAGGAGTCGGGAGGAGCCTCTCTGACCCACAGGTCCTGCTTCATCCTATCGACCCACCAAACTCTGCCACTGCTTTGCGTTGCACCGGCATCATCTGTAACGTGGAGAAGCCCTCAGGGGAACGGACAGGCAGGAAAGAAAGGGCTGGCCTCTGGACTCGTGGCCAGCCTGCCCTTGTGAGGTCCATGTCCAGATCAATTCACACTTGGCTTCTGAGATTCAAGTCCCCTTTAGCCATAATTTCTTCTATGACTCCCATTCCAAACTCAATATTCTGTCCTCAAAGGCCTCCTGACACACCAGGAGACCCCTTTAAGCTAGAAGGACAGAGGTCCTTTCCAAGTTACCATGGAGTCTTAGAATTTGTGGGCAGAAAGGACCATATGAAGCATGAGCTCTTAGGCCCACATTTTAGCAACGAGAGACAGAAGCCAAAAGCCACACTTTCGTATTTGTGGTCCACTCATCTTTCTAAAAACAGTAGTTCTACGGCATTTACAGCAAGGGCATTAACCTCTAAATTGTGGCCAGCAAAACAAAAGCTAAGGAAAAGTGTTCCTCCTGAGCAGATCTTGTTTAAAGCAAACATACTTTTTTTAGGCCCCGCAGATCATGGAACATTTACCTGTTTGGAGTTTCAACTCAAATGGTGTCCTTCGAGGAATGCTTAAGGATCGAGTCTTCTTGGGGCACCTGGGTGGCTCAGTCAGTTAAGCGTCTGACTTTGGCTCAGGTCATGATCTCACAGTTTGTGAGTTCAAGCACCACATCTGGCTTTCTGCTGACAGCTCAGAGCCTGGAGCCTGCTCTGGACTTTGTGTCTCCCTTGGTCTCTGCCCCTCCCCTGCTTGCCCCCTATCTTTCAAAAGTAAATAAATAAATAAACATTAAGAATGGGAAAAAAAAAAAAAGGAAAGCATCCTCTTTATTTTATTTATTTATTTATTTTTTAAAATTTTTTTTTCAACGTTTTTTATTTATTTTTGGGACAGAGAGAGACAGAGCATGAACGGGGGAGGGGCAGAGGGAGAGAGAGACACAGAATCGGAAACAGGCTCCAGGCTCTGAGCCATCAGCCCAGAGCCTGACGTGGGGCTCGAACTCACGGACCACGAGATCGTGACCTGGCTGAAGTCAGACCCTTAACCGACTGCGCCACCCAGGCGCCCCGAAAGCGTCCTCTTTAAAGAAAAAGACTACCTACTACCAAGCTGTTCAGGCCAAGGTTTGTTTTTGGTTTCCTCCAAGTAGAAACCTCTCCTAGGGGACTCACCCCAAATCTAATCCAGACTCAGGGTTTTAAGTATTCTGGTCTCCACTTCAAATGTTAAGTATACAATTTGAGACTGTAATTCAAGACGGCTTTTTTTTTTAATGTTTATTCATTTTTTTCCTGAAAATTTGTTAGTTTTTAAATATAATGTATTGTCAAATTGGCTTACATACAACACCCAGTGCTCATCCCAACAAGTGCCCTCACCCACTTTCCCCTCTCCCCCAACCCCCATCAACCCTCAGTTTGTTCTCTGTATTTAAGAGTCTCCGATGGTTTGCCTCCCTCCCTCTCTGTAACTATTTTTTTCCCCTTCCCCTCCCCCATGGTCTTCTGTTAAGCTTCTCAAGATCCACGTACGAGTGAAAAACATGAGATCTGTCAAGATTGCTTCTCAATCCAAAGATGAAATAGGTCTCCTCACTGTACATTAAAGAAATACACAAACTGTTTCACATTTCTATAGTCAAACAGGAAGAATTCACGAAAGGGGTTTTTGGGACAGAAGCCACTGGAATTTACAGAAGCTAAAATTCAATTTCTTCGTGATGGAGATAACTAAAAAGCCTATTTCAGGACAAGTTAAGCAGCAGATACACACTGGCAGGAAGATTATGTGTGGCCTCGGCCCTTCCTCCTAACGGCCTCAGAACAAGAGTAAGAGTGGGCTCTGTTTGTGCCAACACGTATCATTCTTGCTTGACTTTTTTATGTCTTCATAAAATACTGATGGTTTGCCTTAATGAAAATCTAACCTAACACACCACAAGAGTGATTTAAAAGCCAGGAAAGACACATGGAGACAAATGGACTGTAGCTCTAGGCTACACCGCGCGCTTCTCACCACCAACTTCAGACTCCGATCCCAGACGGCAGAATCATGGAGAGTGTCCGTCTCAAACCCGGGCTGAGGCGGGAAGGTACACGCTCTCAGGGGAAGATCGCGGCACTGGGACTCAGAGGGTGGCGCGTGAGAAACGAAAGACCTTAAGATGAAGAGTTAATTACTATGTGAAAAAAGGTTTTTGCTTACCCGGCAATGACAACGCCGTCATGGGAATGCACGTCACACAAAACCGCATCGGGAACGTGCTCCAGTTCGCTCACGGCACCTTTGCGATTCTGCATAAGGAGAAGGGGGATGCAGTTGGTCGTACTCTCGGGACACCCCAACGGCAGCACTCCGCGCTCAGCTACACTCCACGGCCGTGTCTTACCACGGGTATTGTGCTCAAAGTCACCGGGGCGTTCCAAAGGACCACGAGGACAGCTAATCTGCTAAGGTATTAACATTTACGAGTTACCCCACACAAGAAGACCGTGAACCCGGGGGCACGGCCATGGGAGACGCTGCTCCCGCGCTCAGGGGGGTTACAGGCTAGAAAGGCAAGGTGTGCGCTCCACTAGGCTGGCGGGGGCACGTATCTGAAGAAACACAAAGTCTGTTTCGAAAGCGCAGTTCCAAGGACAGAAGGTATTTAAGGGTGTTTTACGTGCCAACAGCCCTTACGAACACTCAGAGGATACGATGAGAGAGTATACACAGAGACAAAAGTCAGTATGGGGAAAGGAAGAAGACCACAAGGTCAGAGGTTCGTGGAATTGGTATTTTTAAAGGGAACCCTAAAGCCCAGGACACGTGTGGTTCCTGAGACTAGGCGGCAGGTAGCAGATGGGTTTTCCACCATATGGACTCTGCTGACTTTTGAGTCACTTGTACAAAGATCATCATGCTGGCCACAGGCCAGGCTGTACGGGAGGAGCATTAAACAGTCATCCTTGCCACTACCCTATGAGCGGGCTACCATCAGCCCCCACTTTAGAGAGGGGAAAACGGGAGCATCCGAAGGAAAGCAACTTGCTCTAACACCACCTTTCATGTTTTGATGGAGCTTTCTCTCTAGAATCACAGTAAGCATCCCACCATCACAGTCAGGGCAGGATTCCCCATTTCACATTTCACTTTCGTAGTCCTCACTGTTAACAGGGCCAGGAAAGGGGCTGAGCCATCTGACTCCAGTCCACTAACTCATTTATCAAGCGCTAACCAAATGGCTTTATACTTGCTAAAGACAACTAGACGTTCCAGTCAACTGTATGTGACTTGCAGCAGTCATGGAGGGCCAGATGCCTGGAGGCAGGGCTCCGGACACCTTCACTGCTGCCACCTCCAGCGGATGAGGAGGTACCTGCCTCCCTCTGGGGCTTTCTCCACCACCAAAGAGGAAGCAGAAAACTTAGCGGCTGCGCTCTCTCAGGGTCTGACGGCTCAGAATTCGAGCCGATGTACACAGACCATTGCAGCACCCACGTGCACAAGTCAAAATATCCCTCCTTCCCGGAGGGAAAGGCCCCAGTTCAAGCTAACTCACCAGCTCTCCTTCAATTCCAGCCCTTCCTGCCAGGCTCGGGCCCAGCTCGTCTAAGCAGCTCTGTCAAACCCTCACAGCTGCCTCTCACCGACTTCCCTCACGCAGGCCCAGCCAAGCACATGGGCAAGAAGGCTGGGTGGGGAGGGGTCTCCACACGAGGCTATCATCTGGTGAGCACACAGCTGCGGGGCCAGGGTGCTTTTTACTCAGAGGTGTCTTAACAGCCTATGAAAGGACACCTATGCTCGTTCCCCTTGGAAAGGCAGTTCTCAGCCGGGGGCCATTGTGCCCCCGCCCCAAGGGACATCTGACACGCCTGAAGCCATCTGTGGCTGTCACGACGTGGGGTAGGCGGAGGATGCTATTGGTACCCACTGGGTAGAGGTTAAGGAAGCTGCTCAACATGCTACCACGCACACAGGGCAGCCCCCACCAAAGGAGTTGTCTGGCCCCAATGCGAGGTTGAGAAACACTGCTCCTATTCGCTTGACTAGAAACTGTGCGTTTACCCAGACCAAGAGCATCGGTCACTAATGAGGTTATGAGGTGACCGAGGACGGACCCGCACACAGGCAACGGGTCACCGTCAGTAATGAGCAAAAGCCTGTGATCTCAAAGTCCGTTAGGATCGACCTTTACAGGAGTGGAGGCAGTAGGTGTGGTTCCACCGCTGCCCTACGAGGGCGTCTCCAGCTACCAGGTAGGAAGGAGGGCCGCCACCGCACTGTGGTCTTGTCAGGCCTCGAACAGCTTTACGTAACGCCGTTCTTGACAGAGATTTCCTACAGAAACACAGCACCGTGCAAATTCTTAGCTGTGATCTAATATTTCTGTAGAGATTTTGAAGTGATAAATGCTATGGAAGCAAGCCAGTGGGTTATGTGAGGGGAGAGAAGACAGGACTCAGAGACATTTAACAACCTCCCTCGCAGTCACTGGAAATCACATTTGCGGCACTGCTTTCGTATTCAGGTGGTGCTTTTGCTTTGTTGATGCGTTAGGGGTCAGGGTCGGTGAAAGTGAAAGGGGACTGCACTGAGCACGAGCCATCAGAGGGGAGGGGGCGGCACCCCAACCTCACCCCTCCTCTCCTAGACAACAGGATGCTCCCCAACAGCACGGTTGCAAAGGGGGGCAGATACCCTAACGGCGAGCAAAACGGGCAACGAACCACCGGCAGCCGACAGGATGCTCACCGCACTCCTCTTTGCTTTTGGCAGTTAGTTGGCCTCAGGCCGTAATCGGAGGGCCTGCGGGGTTAATCCGGGGCCTGGATTCCCGCGTCCTTGCCGGCTATTCTTCAGTACAGGTAACGAGATTGGCCACCGCCTACCTTCCAGTTGGTTCTTAACATGTGTTCCTTGGCTCGGCACTCTTGGAAGATGAGCTTCCAGCACGAGTAATCAGAGATGCTGCTCTCGGGAAGGTGCCCTTCCTGCCGGCACAGCCGGTACCAAAGCACTTCGTCTTCGGCAATCACCTTCCACGTCTTGCTCACCTAAAACGGCACAAGTGACACAAATGCCGAATTCTGCAATTAGAGAAGCCCCTCGCCATCCAAAAATCAATCAACACCTTTATTATTACCCCGAGTTTATGGCAGTATAAAACGTCTCATTAACAAAACATTCTGAGGTGGAAAAGAAATACAAGCAAACGTTTCCAGTTTTATTTTTCGAGATTTCCAAACTGTTGTTCTATCATTTCATACCACATGTTAGATGCCTTGGTTAAATTATTATATAACATGTAAGGAAATTATTATATAACATGTAAGGAGAAAATACACAAATACATAAACAGCAAAAAATGTAAACTGCAACTGTACAGTTTTTCAGACCGGAATGTCTTCACTTTCCTTTTACCAATGGGCACTTGTGTTTCTTTCCTTTTCTTTCTTTCTTTTCCTTCTTTCTTTCTTTCTTTTTTTTTTTTTTTTTTTTATATTTCTTCTTATACAAGTGGAGACTGACTGTCTCTGAAATAAAAGGCTGTAAGAAAATCAATATCCATAACTCAACACTTCTGGTCATACGAGAAATTCAAATTTATATTATGTAGAAAAACTTAGACTTCAAGTGGATAGACTAAAAAAAAAATTTTACACAAAACTCAAGCTGTTCACCAGGACCATAACGTCTGATAGAGAGAAATTAATGTTCTGTCTGGACTGAATTTCAAATCCCAACAGTATCCAGAGGAAATGGCCATTTTTGCTATTAGTATTCTGTCCTCCAAACCTAACTCAGGGGACAAAGCAGTTACTTCTTCACAGGATACCGTACAAAGTTGCACAAAAGGTGGACTCTGTTGGCAAGATGAGAGAATGATCCAGCAAATCAACATGATCTTGAGTCTGTGGGGTCAAGTGCTTAACACTTGCCGCCCATCTAAAGGTTGAGACTCATTTCTAATAAAGTGAAGGTCATGGCCACTGGTTTACAGTAACCTGTGCTCCTGAACACTCCCTTGGGGCCACTTCAAGACGTAGAATACACAGACAGAAGAGAGAACACGAGACAAAGTAGGCGAGAGTGCACACAGCATGTGTCTCATTAGGATTCCTCGTTTGAAGAAGTACCAATAGGTAGTTCACTTTTAGGATGGCAGAATAAAGAACTCCAAAAATCTGCTCCTACATTCAAGCAACAAGAATACTGCCAAAAGTTGTCAAAATCAACTTTTTCAGAACTCTGGAAATTAACTAAAGACTTTCAACATTCCGAGGAGCATTTATTCAAGAAAAATGTTTTCATCTTGGTAAGGGCAACTACCTCCATGTTGTTTTAACTTGCACTAATCCCATCGTCCTCTGCCGGCACCACAGGTAGCTCCACGGTAACCTTGAAAAACAACAGCCTCGCAACTATGGTAGCTGTGAAAACCAGCAGCCTGGAAGACACCAAAGGGGCCAGATGGCTTCACAGGTGCCCAAAATGCCATCCCCAGGGAATGGTCACGATTTGACCTGTGTGACAACCTGCTGGAAAGCTCTCTTCTGGAGGCTTGTCTTTATCTGACCTGACTCAAAGCTTCCTCTGCCTTATCTCCAGTGCATTTGTCCCAAACAGTAAGGGAGAACTGTTTAAGGTTGTGGCTGCCTGAGGTACCATTACCACCCTGGGGCTACAAAGAGTTGACCTAAAACTTAAAAGGGAAACCTGGGGAATGGGATGTCCCTAAGGGGCTTTGAAAGGCTCCCACAGATTTCTGGGAGTCAGTGTCATGCACCTGTATAGGACTGTGTGTGCACCCAGAAAAGGGATCAGAAGGCCCTGATCTCTCACTCTGGCTAAACTTGAAGCTTTGCACAGCATGATGTGAAGGCTAAAACAGAGTTGTGAACCGCTGGCACAATGAAAGCATGCCCCAACATACAGAAAGCAACTCAGCAAAAGATGGGAGATTTATTGCTTCAACATATTTAAGGAAACCTCTGTCCAATCACTAACCACTCAGCTAAATGAGCAGAGATTTCAGTGGTCACACATGATAAAAAATACAAACCAGAGTATTAGTCCAGAAAAGTCACTAAAAAATAGCAGCAATAACAAACAACAAAAACTAACTCTCCAGAAGAGAGTGAATCACATTTTAAAGGAGTTGTCACGTTTTAAAAGTCAATTTTTTAAACACAAAATGTAGACACATGCAAAGAAACAGTAAAGAATGAGCCATATGTGGAAAGAAAAAGCAGCCTGAGCAAGTCCAGACTTTGGACTTATTAAACTAAGACTTTAAGTCAGCTATTATAAATATGTTCAAAATACTAAAGGAGAGCAGGTCTAGAAAAATAAAAGTTATAAGCACAATATTTCACCAAGTAGAAAACAGTGATAAAGAAACTTTAAAAAAACACAAGTTTTAAAGTCAAAAAGCACAGTAACTGAAATAAAAAATTCAATAGAGGGGCTCAACGGATTTGAGCTAACAGAATAATCAGCAAACTCAAGGTCAATTAAGATTATCCAGTCTAGGGGCGCCTGGGTGGCGCAGTCGGTTAAGCGTCCGACTTCAGCCAGGTCACGATCTCGCGGTCCGTGAGTTCGAGCCCCGCGTCGGGCTCTGGGCTGATGGCTCAGAGCCTGGAGCCTGTTTCCGATTCTGTGTCTCCCTCTCTCTCTGCCCCTCCCCCGTTCATGCTCTGTCTCTCTCCGTCCCAAAAATAAATAAACGTTGAAAAAAAAATTAAAAAAAAAAAAA